TTTGTTTATTTCAAATAGAAAACAAACACTAAATCATACATACGCGCACACACATCTAACTAACTAGAAGAGAGAAAAAACCATCGATATATATATTTATATATATATAGATATCGAGGGTTTAGAAAAAATAGAAATATAAGGGCAAAATAAAGAATGACCTGAGATAGTTCAGATCAAAGAAAAGAAAGAAAACATAACAAGGGTTAGCCGCTAACAAACAGGTATACAATAGCATATTGTATGACCAGAATTTAATGCTTACAGACAACTAAATGAGATAAATACTTTTTGTGAATTAAAAGCAGCTCCAAATATGTCAAGATCAAATGAATGAAGAATTTGTGAGATCGTGGTAGAAATCATAGTTGGAGCAATAAGTTGAATAATGACCGATGGACAGAATTTTTTTCCATTAAAAATGTCGTGGATAGTAAATTTTCGATATAAATCAAATTGAATTAGTCTATTCGACCAAATTGTTTTGCGTCGTACAAAATATTTAGTTTGTAGTCGAATTTCTAATTGATTCTAAGGTATAGAAGAAAAGCAAAAGAATTACAGGAAGAAATAATTAATTGTATTTAATGCTATTTTTCTTCATTTAATGAAACATTATCATACTACGCTTTATATAAATTCGGTAATTTGATGTCAATTAAACGAATATTTGTTGCAAATTTTGTTTGTGGAAATTATCCCATTTTAGTAAAAATGTAAAGCTTATTGTTGATTTTTAAGTGGAGAAATGTGAAATTTATATTTAGTGTATATGAGAGATTTTGAGTACTATATATGGCTATTACTATGTGTTTGTTTTATCAAAATAGGAAGACAAAATATGTGACTTTAAGAATATCTTTTACAATATTAAGGTATACATGAGTTAATTGAATTAATGTTTTCTGGTTGATCCCATGTAAAAAAATTTAGGGTAGAAATCAGATTAAAATCGATTGAAAAATGATTGAAAATCGATTATAATCATACACCTTTAATCGATTTTTAATCGATTGGGAATCGATTATAATCAAAAATAATCCAAAAAACAAAATTTTCATCGATTATTCCTATTATTTTCGATTATAATCGATTAAAAAATTAATGAAAAAAATTGATTATAATCGATGCAAAGCGAAGAAAATTCCTTAAAAATTTTGCCATTTTTCATGTACGAAAATCGATTATAATCAATTTTTTTCATTAATTTTTAATCGATTATAATCGAAAATAATAGGAATAATCGATGAAAATTTTGTTTTTTGGATTATTTTTGGTTATAATCGATTCCCAAGCGATTAAAGGTGTATGATTATAATCGATTTTAATCTGATTTCTACCCTAAATTATTTTACATGGGATGGCGAAAAAAAGAGAATATTAAATCTTACTACGGCGTTTTTTAAGAGCTGTGGATTTTCTTTGAGAAAAAATAAATCGATACTAGATGTTTTTCCGACTAAATATTTAACAAGTAAGCATGAAACGATTGAACCACCAGTCACAAAAAATAGATTCCAATCTATATAGGTTCCCCATATATCATATTCATAGTGAGAGTTCAGATTTTTGATAAATTGATCGAAATTGACAACGATGTTTGGTGGCGATTGATTGTTTCCCCAAACTTTGAAAAATATACATTCGTCAACCGATAATGCATGTGGTTGAAAAAGATCTATTCATATAGATTTTACAAAAATGATATATATATATATATATATATTCATGTAGTTATATATCTATTTTTATGGTTTATGTTTTATTTGTTCTTAGTAAATCTTAGTTGTTTTTTTCGAAATAGTTTAACTATTAATTGTGTATTTATTTTCTAAAGTAGTGTTTGACTTATATAGTTTGCGGTGACTTTTTTAAGACACAAAAGAGTATTACAATAGTTTAACCAAACAAATAGAAAAAAAAATGAACTAATTGATAAGTGATGCTCATTGGACTATGATGTAAATTATATAATTTCGAGAGTTTTATATGTGTGGCTTAGATAAAAGAAATATCTTACATGAATATTGAAAAATATCCAAAATAGGATAAGATGATTCATAATAAAATGGACTGAATCCCCATAGTCGACAGTATAAGAAAAACATATCTGTGGAATAATATTTCAATGATTTTTCTATCACTTGTAGCTTGAAAGGTCCATAAACAAAATTATTCCATTTGCATGAGGACAATATAAGACTGATGCCGTTGTCAATAATCATATATGGGGATTTTGTCATGTTATTTCTTTTTCAAGTGATAGGTTAGACTGGAAGCGCAGTAATTGCATTAGATGATATGTAGTAATAGCGAGGTGGAATTCAATGAGTAATGTAAAATGAAAAAGATCCATTCCAGACAATTCTTCGATTATAGAAAATCAATTATTTCATTCGGTAACAGAAATAAAAAAGATAGATCTATCAGAGGATGTACAAAATTAAACTGAAAAAGGAAAAAGATGTAATTTAATCAAATTAGTGAATAGAATTAAGTAAAGAGTATATGTCGATTTTGTTGAGCGCTGAAATCAATGCATTTAAATAAATTGACGAATTTTAGCAAAATTAATTAATTTGATTGAATAAATTAAGTGTTTGATAGAGCATTGACTAAATGTTTATATATGAGTTGTATTAAACCACATGATTAATTGATTCCAATAAATGTAGGAAAGAATATTTACAATAAAAAAAAAACTTGATTGAACTAAATGATTTTGGTTATAGTAGAAAGACAAATGAATTTAAAATGATCCTTTGTAAAGAAAATGATAATACAATTTGTGATTTCCTGATAACGAATGAAAAACCAAGAAATGAATTATTTTATATTTTATGTAACATGTATTGGTTGATAAATGTGAATATTTTCAGATTCTTGCTTTTGAGATAGTGAAAGAGTATGATTAAGTTTAGTAGTATATTCTCCTATATCTAATTTCAATATTATTTTGATGAGAAGGAAGGTTGAAGTGTATTATATATATAGTGCTTAAGTTCTCAAGTGATTAGTATGAAGTATTTTTTAGGAAAATTTTAGAACATTTATTCTTTGCACGATCAATTCTATATTTTTCCTATGAGACATCGACTAATATGATGGAAAGATTTAGATGATTTACTATCATAATCAGTAAATTGATACCGCTATGGGTGGGAAATCAAATTGTGTTTTTTTTTCAACGTGCAAATTTAATTACAATTTTTTCCTAATAATAAATTAGCTTTTATATTCAGTTTCTTGGTAAACAGTTAAAACTTCAACATCAGCTGGTGAATCAGGCAGGGCCCACAGTCTTGTTGCAATGTTTTGTATTGAAAGGTCTTCATCAAAGTCATCGTTTACATGTTGGATAGCTACGTAGACATTACAGCGACATTCTAGAAGTGTACCAATAAATGGTAATATATCTTGATGATGAATAGGCTCATGATACATTGGATATTTGTAATCAATTTTAAAAAAACAGTCTTTTGCCAAGCGAAATTGACGTATACAGTAATAATGATACTCGTTTTGAACAAGAAAGGCTTAAATATTTTGTGTATTCGACAAGATTAGACTCCGAATGGGACAGTCATTGTTTTCTATTTTATAAAGTTGTATAAGGTCGACATTTAACATATCACGAAGAGCAGCTTGTAAAATTTGAATATCATAATTTGCAGTGTTTTCATAATAGTAATCTGTAGTTTGTATGAATTCTCCATTTCTAAATCTTTGCTCAGTAGCTGCTATATTTTGAGCAATATTTATTAAATAGTTGTCACTAAATAGATCAAGATTTTGTGAAAGTGTACAAAGAGCATGTCTTGTACAATAATTTTCTTCTTGATATTCGCAGAGGCTAATATTTTCAGGTTTTCTTAGAGATAAGTTTGTATGTGAACTCGATTTATTACATTTTAACTGTTTGACATCACCACGATCTAAAGTAGATCGGTTTATTTCATTGGATGGCATTGATGACAATTCATCAATGTTAGATAAGTGTGGTAGACACCATTCAATATATCTCTGTAAAAATATACGAACATATTCGTATAATAAAAACAACAATTGTGACCTTAGTTTCTAAATACTGTTCAATCTTGATAGGATACTCTTGTTCTATTTTTTGTAGACGATACATTTCGTTGAGTGCTGGTTTGGACACCTATTATGCTATTATATGTTGATAAATTCTGAACTAATATATACTACTTTAAAAGATTTCCGATCATATGCCAATATTATGATATCATTTAATTTTCGTGTACGACTAAGAATTGTATAAAACATACCAGGCTTCCAGTTTATTCCAGTAAGATCAACCACTAGCTTATTATAGGTCATACATTGTGAACGGTGAACTGTTATTGCATAACCAAGATTCAGTGGAAATTGTAGTCTTGTCATCCAAATTCCATTTTTATCTTTAAAACTGACTTCTTCTGGAAGCATTTTGTAAATTGATTCGTCGAGCAATTCTTTATAGAACAGTAGATAGGATCAAATGAAATAATATTTCTACTATTCCTTACTGAGTTCAATATATTTAGGTAATGTTGTAGTTATTGTTCGGTCTAGATTCGGAAATACACATCGGTGAGACATCGGTAGTATAATATGATCACTATTGTCCCACACAATATCGTTTACAGTTGCTTCAGTTCCGTTTACCATCGAGTCATCGAAATCAATATTTCGTCGACAAATTACACGAGTACCTATGCATATTGGTAGCTGTGCAAACATAGATCCGCAGTCGTTTTCATCTTCGGAAGGTTTTAAAAGAATTTTGCATTCTTTGTTACTAACTTTGATTGGATTAAAAGACACTATATGCATAAATACTATTTTCAAACTCAATTGGTTGTAGTTCAGATAATTTTTATTTGTAGTACTCTGGATTGTCTTCTCTTCGAATACTTCTGTTTTTTATTTGTATTTCATCGTCTTCATTGTATTCACCTGAAATTGATTATAGTATGATAGTTCCGATTTATAAATGTTACGTTACCTAATCTCATTCGACACAGAATGTCAAAAAAAGTTCTATCTTCACCTTGTCGCATATTGATATTGAAATTGATTGGTCTGAATAAATCAGACTAAAGAGAAAAAGTTTCACCAGTAGGTGCCCAGAAAATTTGCTTTGCTGCCACTGGTTCACATTGAGCCAAATCTCCAAATAATAAAACTGAAATGTTTCCAAAATAAATATCACTTTTATCGGCTGTTTCGAATATTTCATTTAAGCGTTTGTTGATTTTTTGAAAAAGATTGTGTGAGACAACTGAGATTTCATCAATAATTATTAAAATTAAATCGCCAAGTCTGTCTCGAAGTGAATGTATTTTTAATGACGGAGCAGCATTCGGTGTTGAAGTATTATCAGGACGCTATATATTGATTGCATGAGACAATTTAGAATATGAAAGATAGTAATACATTACCATTCCGAGAGCAGAATGAATAGTCC